ATTATATCTTTAATATATGCATAAGAATATATGTTAAAAATACAAGATGAAAAATTTGCAAATCTTGTGAGGGTGTCCAATTTCAGTGGCATAATTGATGGGATATACTTGAAATTCATTCATATTTTATATATTTTACGAGTATGATTAAAAGTTTTAGTATTATTAGATTTTAATAATAGAATATTTGAATTTTCGAAAAAAACATCCTGATTTAATAGTTTTTAATCTCTTATAAAAAATTTTCTCATACTAACTTAAAGTATGAAATTTAAGTCTCACTCTTAATGTTTTAAAAAATAATAGTAACTTTATAATTTCTCAAACTAATTTAAAATATAAAATTTGAATCTTACTCTTAATATTTTAAAAATAATAGTAACTCTACAATAACAATAGATTTTGATTTTTAAAAGTTCTTTAATTAATAGGTATTTTAAGTTCATCTTTTTATTCAAGAGCACGAGAGTGGAATAAATAAAAATAAAAATAATTAAGCAAAAGACTAGAGAGAAGTGGGAATAAATATAGACAAGCTTGATTAAGAAAGGAAGAAAAGTGGTAGGGTCAAATGTGGAAAACCGCGGTATGGATTGAGGCGTTGTCAATTTAGGAGTGCTTTTGTCCTTTACGTTGCTTGACTTTTGTTCCCTTGTTGTCATAATCCAGGTCACAGCGGGGTGGAGCTATAAACAACCATTAAGGAAAGAGTGCTTTCATGATGAATTGGTATGAGCAATCATGATCATCTTAACATTTGATAGTCAAGTTATTATAGCATTTATTATCAATAGTGATGGTTAACGCTTAAAAGATTTGTATGATACGTGGGTTCAAAAGGGCCAAGCTTTTGCCCTTTTCCTTAGCAGATCAACTGAATATAATTGTCTATAAAAGCTCTTCACTTTCATGAATTTCTACAAGTTCAAAACCAACATATCTAAACAAACCATGGCTTCCTCCTCCACTCACTTCTTTCTTTTAAGCTTGGTTTTCTTGATGATCTCCTTCATTCAACTATCCTTACATCAGCAACTCTGTCATAAGGATGAGTATCTTGCTCTAATGCAATTCAAAGACAGCTTTGTCATTGAAAGGCAAGCATCTACTTGTCCTAAAGTCGGTCTTTGGAAATCTCAAGGGGTTGATTGCTGCTCATGGGAGGGCATATGGTGTGACCAGAACACTTCTCATGTCATAGGCCTTGATCTTAGTGGTAGTTGTCTTTCTGGTTCTATTAATTCCAACAGCAGCCTCTTTCGCCTTGGACACCTTCAATACCTCAACCTTGCATGTAATGACTTCAATTTCTCTAAGATACCATCTGCAATGGGCAATCTTTCCAGGTTAACTTATCTCAACCTCTCTGGTTCTTTCTTTTCTGGTCAAATTCCGCATGAATTTTCAAAACTTTCCAATTTAGCTAAGCTTGACCTTTCTTTCAATGTTGATTATTCACATCAAGGGTTGTTGGAACTCAAAAGGCTTGATTTGAATAGCCTAGCTCAAAACTTAACCAAGCTAGAATGGCTTGACCTCACTTTTGTTGGTATAAATTCTCCAATACCTAAGGCCTTGGCAAATATGTCATCATTGACATATCTCTATTTTGGTCAATGTGGATTGCTTGGAAAGTTTCCCACAGACATTTTTCAACTACCTAAACTTCAAGTCCTTGATTTGGATAACAATTGGGAACTTAGTGGTAGTTTTCCTGAATTTCACTCTTATAGTCAGCTTAGGGTACTTGATGTTAGAAACACAACCTTTTTTGGTGAGTTACCTATCTCAATAGGAATGGTTAGCTCTTTGGAATATTTAGATGTTAGTAGTTGTAACCTCTCAGGTTGGGTACCACCTTCAATTGGTAATCTCACCAAGCTCCATGTATTGAGCCTCCCAAATAATTCTTTCAGGGGAGAAAACGCTCCTTTCTTCTCAAACCTCACTCATCTAACTCAAATAAATCTTAGATTAAATCAATTCACTTTTAGTGAGGTCCCTTCTTCTTTGGCTAGCTTGACCCATCTCATGAAGATAGACCTTTCTTATAATCATATTTCTGGCCATTTTCCATCTTGGATTACAAACCTAACAGATTTAAGACAATTGAATCTCGGGTCTAATATGTTACAGGGATCTCTTCCAAGCTCAATTTCTAGACTCAAGAACCTTGAAACACTCTTTGTTTACTTCAATAACTTAAGTGGTATTGTTGAGTTTGACACATTTCTTGAACTTAAATCCCTTAAATCATTGGAATTAGGCTTTAATAATTTCTCATTAGTAATCAAAACTCCCACCAATAGAACAATTCCAAAGTTTAAAGTATTGGGTCTTGCTTCTTGTAATCTAAGAGAGTTTCCAGACTTTTTGCATAATCAGAGTGAATTGAATGTCCTCAGCCTTGTCTCCAACAACATCCATGGCCAGATACCTAGTTGGATATTGAATTTGAGTGCAAGTTTGTGGGTTTTAGATCTTTCTTACAACAATTTCACAAGTTTTGAAGAATCCTCTCTTGTTTTTCCCTCTACTAGTCTTTGGTATCTAGACCTTAGTTTTAACTTTCTCCAAGGTTCTCTACCAATCCCACCACTCTCCATCCTTTTCTACTTAGTTTCCGGGAATATATTCAGTGGAGAAATTCCACCTCAATTCTGCAACATGACTTCTCTTCAAGTGCTGGATTTGTCTCACAATAATTTGAGTGGAACGATGCTGCAATGTTTTGGCAACCTCAGCTCCATGTTGGTTTTAAACTTGGAAGGAAACAACCTCCATGGTCCTATTCCTAAAACATGGGAAACTGGAAACAAACTCAAAGCAATTAAAATGGGACAGAATAATTTGCATGGAAGGTTACCAAGATCACTAGGCAACTGCAAAATGTTGGAGTTTCTTGATTTTGGAAAAAACAAGATCAAAGATACTTTCCCTTCCTGGTTGGGAGCTCTTCCTGAATTGAGAATTCTCATTTTGCGTTCAAATAGGTTCTATGGCACAATTTCAATCAGAGTACCAGAGACAAATTTCTTGTTTCCTAAGCTCCGCATCATTGACCTCTCAAACAATGGATTTGTTGGCACTTTGCCAATAGACTTCTTTGCAAGATGGAATGCCATGGCTAATCTTGATGGGGAGAACGCAACATATTTGCAAGCATATAAGCACTATATAATGGTGAACCTTCTCGTCGTTCCTTTTCAATTTCCTTACTCAATGATAATAACAAACAAAGGAGAGAAAATGGAATATGCAAAGATCTTGGAGGTTTTTAGGGCTGTGGATCTTTCTTGCAACAAATTTGATGGAGAAATTCCAGAAGTAGTTGGGAACTTAAAGGGACTTCAATTGCTCAATCTTTCCAATAACATCCTTGTTGGTCCAATCCCAACAACCTTGGGATATCTTGCAAATCTTGAAGCACTTGACCTTTCTCAAAACAATCTCACAGGAAGAATTCCTACACAGCTGACACGACTCAATTTTCTTGAAGTCTTGAATATGTCTTACAACCATTTGACAGGTCCTATCCCAAAAGGCCAACAGTTTGATACATTTGAAAACAGCTCTTTTGATGGAAATTCAAGACTGTGTGGAATGCCATTGTCAAGGAAATGTGACTACTATAACTCCGAGAATTTGCCTCCACCATCTTCAATCTCCAAAGGAAATGAAGACTTTGGATTGTTAGCTGAATCTGACTGGAAATTAGTGCTGCTAGGTTATGGATGTGGATTACTCATTGGTGCTGTCATTGGAAACATTGTTTTTACAAGAAAACGTGAATGGTTTATGAAGAAATTCCGAAATCAGGTATACAAGGGAAAGGAGGGAGCGTGAAAAGATTGAATAGGAGCAAGGAGTGAAATGATATCATTTCATTGTATATTATTTTTCCCTTCTTTTTTCTGTTTGTGATTATAAGTCAAGTTCAGTGCAAGTCCGTGTATTGTACATATGGAGTGGAATTTTAATCCTCTTGAATATGTACTTATCTTGCCTACTTCAGCAGCTGATATGGAATATTAATAATTTCCTTTTAGTAAATTCTTTGCTTTCCTTAAAGAGAGAAACAGAGAAGAAAATTATATTCCGACAAAAAAAAAAAAAGAGAGAAGAAAATTATGTTCATTAATGTGAAAATGCAGTTTATCATAAAAAAAAAATTGCAATTTGAGACACATGTGATATTTTGGTTGTATATGATTTATTGTAATTTTTGTTTAAATAGCACATGGGACCATGGAATATTACTTAAAAGAAACTATAGGATGTTAAGGTCTTAGGTTATACACAGTAAGAACAGAAGCATCTGAAAAACCACAAATGCGGTAAGACTGGAAGAAAAAAATTAGTTTTTCTTTTCTTTTTTTTTTTTCTTTCTTTCTTTCTTTCTTTTCTGGTGATGATGAAAATAAGTTGACCATCAAAATAATTATCCAGGAATGCAACATATTTAAATTAAACTTTGTTACTACTAGACTCTCATATATGCAGTTTAAACTTTAAAGGTGATTTTAGATGTAAATATAAGCACTTTGTCCTATGTGGTTGCAGTGGAAAAAACTGATGGTTAGGTTGAATCTATTATCGGTAGAGGTTAATAAGCCTGACCTATGGAATGATTCTGTACATGCTGGGAAAATAAGCAGGGAGCATGGTGCACTTATGGGTAAAATGAAAGAAGTGAAGGCATTTGAGCAAGAATTGCTTGAGCATATAGAAATGATAAAGCTTGCAAGGGAAGAGAATGACTCTGAGTTGGAATTGGTGGGCTCTCACTTCTTGTCTAGGCATGTATACTTTCTTTTTCATGACCAAGAGCTTGTTTCTCATAAATCTTGTAAAAGAATTGATGTTTATTTTCTGATTTCTTGTGATCCAATGTATATCACATAAGGTTGTGGCATGTTAACTATAGTTGTTGATGCACATTTTATTACACAAATTGAGATCCTTTCTAGTTTCTACCATCAGAGTTTGCATTAGTACATAGAAAAACTGAGTTTGATGAATCAAAATTAATTTAGTAAGATTTGGAAACAAAGAACTACATGAGAAACAATCAATTAATTTGAGAATGATGCTAGTAAAAACTCTATTTTAATACACAGATGAATACCTTCCAAATTACTAGGCAGGTCAGTTTTTACTTACAAAATTCGTTCTGCAGGAATCTGTGAAAGCTTTGGTAAGCATGAGAAGAGATTCCAAAGTGAAGGAGATTGAAGCTTTGTTAGCTGGGGAAAATGATTCTTGCTCTTGTTACATAGAGGTGAGTTTGATATACTGTTTTGATTTCTTTGAGTGCATTGACCTCTTTGTCTAATCTACAGAGACAGAACTGCTGCTTAATTTAGTGTTTTCTTTATCTGCCATGCCACTGTTTCTATTAACAGCAAAATCTGCTTATATCAAATAGAGTGTGTACAATTTTTTTGTTTTCACAAACATTCATAAATTCTTCTTCTATCCTCAGTGGAGAATGGACCTTCAGAATTATCTCATCTCTGCCAACTTCTAATAAAAGACCAAAATATTATAATTATAATCAGGTAACATTATAAGATTATAATATAATATGTGATTATATAATTGATTTTTTCTCATTTATAAGTTTATTTGTAATATTATATGTGTCCACTCATTTAATACCATATCATACTCAATTAATATCATATTATGATTATAAACTTATATTCACTCTATTCCAAAATAACTATTCTTTTTATTTTGAGTTTGTTATAAATTAATTGCCATTTTTTATTTTTTAAGGTCAATAGATTTATTTTTCTAATTTAACCCTATCATTATCTATTTATTTTGATATCAATATCAATATCTTAAATAATTTTTAAATTTTAAAATCACATAATCTCTTACTCAATGCTTCCTTTGAAGTTAGCTATTTCAACAATATTGTCATCCATATAAATCTTTGCAGATTAAGAGCTCGACAATGAAATTCCTCCTAATACAAAAATGGCTTTTTAAAAAATCAAGATGCATAATTTTCGAGATTTTTTATTTTAATAAAAAATAAAAAACTTTATAAATTTCATTATATACTTACCTCTATTGTCCTTGACAATCATAGATGTGAATATAATGACTTCCAAATTTGATTAATTAGAAAATCTAATTTGCTCAAATTGATTTATCATGGAAGACCAAAGTGTTACATTCAAACAGCTTTTCCTTTAATAAAATAGAAACAATATCAAACAATTATCTATAATTAATTGATCAAGTATTATATTTTATTCAATTAAAGAGAAATGAAATTTAAATAGATTTCACGTAATTATTTAAATATGAATTACCTTTGATTTTCAATATGTAATTCCATGCAAGTAACATTACTACCATTTGCTTGCCTTTCTTGTGGAGTTCCAACACCAACCAAAACTCCAATAACATCTAAATTTGTAATAAAAGCATTTTAAATAAAAATAAATCACATATTCATTTAATAAAATTATATTAAAATTAAAAAAAAAATACCACAAAGGCATTTGTTTCTTTTCTCGAGAAGCTTCTCATAATCCGTGAGTTCAAATACAAATCTCGGAATCTCTGCAACTTCTTCGATTATTTCTTTGACAATAGTATCAAGGTGAAATTGAATATTGTAGTTGTTATGAGAGACAACACAATAAGTGTACTTATTCTTTTCGACAAAAAATTTTTCACATAATAAACATTTCCTTCCACCAACTTATTCTTAAATCGTAGAATATTGGAACTCCAAATGATAGCATGAATAAAATTTTCCTGCAAACAAATAATTATTGTTAATAAAATTCGTTAAATACATAAAAGAATAAATGTACTAACTTATAAAATTACCTTCTCATCGGCAAAAACCATTTTAGTAGTCAGATGGTCCCTATCACGTTTTAAACTAAAAACATCTCACAATCTGCATATTCGTACTTTAATCTTCCAATCTTTTTTATTGGGTGAAAGTTGATCAAGAAATACATATTCCAGATCTCTTGCAATCGATTTACCTCTATATAACAAAATATTTTAAAATTAGAGAAAAAATGTAACATAATTAGAGAAAAAAGAAATTGGTGCTTAAAATCAAATACCTATTCATATTGAGAAAATGCAATCCAAACAACTATAACCCTAAACACGAAGAATAGAAGGAAAACTAGAGGATGGCCAAATGCCAATCATGAAAACATTTGAAAGGATCAGATTTTTCTATCTTTGGTAAATACGGTTTAGTTGTGGTATTGGTAAATTATTTTTAGTTATTTTTTATTAATAAATTTATTGCTTATTATAACAATCATAATTTATTGCTTATTCTGCAACCATGAATTCTAAAAAAATAACTATCAAGAAGATGTAACAACGTCCCTTTAGGCAGGTCAAAAGGTATATATAAATTTATTGCTTATCATAACAATCACTTTATTGCTTATCCTGTAACCATAAATTTTGAAGAAATAACTGTTCATAAAGAAATAATTGTTTAAGAAGATGTAAGAGCATCCCTTTAAGCAGGTCAAAAGGTGAATATAAAATGCTTACCCTATTTAATGCATAGGGTAGCATTTTATATAGATATATAGATAGATATAGATTACTCTCATCCACAAATATAACAATTATTACCTTATTGATTTTTATTTTATAGTATAGTATAGTTAAAATATAAAATATAGGATTCTTATTTTATTGATAGATTTGACAAAGAGGTTGGGTGGGTTAAATTGGTTCACCTTGAGTTTATTAGATTGGATTATTTTAAGTTTCGAGTAAGAGAGGTAGACTCAGGACTTACCCATGCAAGTTTTGAGTGAGTTTGGGTAGGTTCAATTTAAAAGATTTTAAAAATATATATAAAGTAAAATTTAAAATTTTTCAAAACTCTCTGTTTTACTTTTTAGAAATTAATGTTATTAATTATTTGATAAAAAATTTTATTAAATAAATATTAAATCTAATAATTTAATAAATAAATAATAATAATTTTACATTTTTAATTATATTTTTCATTTAAAGTTTAAAATTAAACCAAAATTTTAATTTAAAAATTAATAAATTTTTAGTTGATTTATTTAAAAATTAAAAAACACCTTTGTATATCCAAATTTCATTAGCAATAAGGTTAAATATAAACTTTTTTATGAAGCTAAATATAATTAAGTAATAACAATTTATTGTAAAATAAAGAAAACAAGTAGAAGAAAAGAGTGTGAAATAGAAAGATAAAGGGTAACAAAGAGACCATGAGAAGTTTATGATTCTTCTTCATTCTTCCCTCTATCTCTTTTTCATATAATAACAAACCCTATATATATATATATATATATGTAGTACAATGATAGAAATCATAAGAGTTACAATATAAGTGTTAATTATTTACTAAATAAGAATAAAATACTCTGTAAATGCTTGAGTAAGTGGGTGTTGCTAGCACTTGTAAATACATGAGATTATAAAGTATTAATCACCACTATAATTACATGAAGATAGTGAAAGTTACACCACTATTTTGTATGTAAATGTCATTAAAAATGAGAGGTAAAAAATGAGAAGCATTAAATATTCACCATAAATTGATTAATAATATAATTATAATTATGAGGTTTTATAATAAAAATATTATGCTTACAATGTCAAAAATATTATAAATTAATAATATGATATGTTATTAATATTATATAATTATAATTTTTACGCAATGTATTATTGTAATTTTTTTTTTATTTGTTACACAACGAGAAGTAATTCTTTTTTATTTTTTATTTCACTTCACTTGTATATCATGCGATTTAAAGTTAAAATTTCTTATTTCTAGCAGAAGAAAATTATCACTAAATAGCATTGACTATATTATTGTAATTATAATATTATTATTTTTGTAATTTTTTGAGAAAGAGAGGCATTAAAGATGTCATAGTTACAATAATGATAAATTATATTTTTTATGCTAATTATTGAATTATGTAAAACAAAAAAAAAAAATTATTACTACTACATGTCTACATAGATTGGTATCTACCAATAATAGTAAAAAAAAAAAGTTCAAAATATTCCACCGACGCAAGGCCAGGTAAACAGAGCCAAACATCGTATAATCGCATCCAACCACACGGGCCGTACCCACCACAGACAACAGAAGTGATGACTTCATCGGGCGGTGGAGGAGGAGGAGGAGGAGGAGGAGGAGGAGG